CCCCAAAACCCCAAAACCCCAAAACCCCAATAAATAAGAATTGCATCTAATTTATGAATAAAATAAAAGACAAATACAAAATAATTAAGAATAAACAATAATGAAAAAATCTTAATCTGAGCAGTAACTTTTACCCCCTGTCATATTGTATAAATCAACAAAATAAAACAGCAACCAAGAATCTAAAATTATTCCAAAATAAATAGCTAGACCAGATTTTAAAGTATCTCCTTAAGAACCTTTAAGACCAATGATGTATAGAAATCCAAGTATGCTTTCAAGAGTTCCACTTGGATTGCCAAATAAACCAATCCCTTTAAGATCTGGTGGTACAGGAGGATAATTTACATCCCTAGAGATGTTCAACTCTTAGATTTCACCGAGAGTTACATCTACTAGTGCTCGAAATAAATTTCTATCTGGAGTTAGAGATACTTTATATCAACCTCTTACAGCAAGAGAAAACAATAGATAATAGTTTAAAAATTTAATTACTACTCCACTTGACAATTAAAATTCACCTCTTAATCGAGATAAATAACTCATGAGTCAAACTTCCTGTGGCTCTTTATTTAAATGGAAAGGAAAAGACAACTAGTTTTCTGCTTCTTATGTTTAAAATATGATGTTTGAAAATAATACGATTACCAAAGAATCTCAAGCGAAAGAAAGACTAAATCTTCATTTGAAGCATTTACAGTTGCTAGAGTAAAATAAGGTCAAACGTTAGGAGTGGAAAATTTAAATAAGAGAAAAAATCATTAAGCTTATCGTGAAACATGGTCTCTATGATGAGTATATTCAACAGATTGATTATTTAGTTACCATGCCCTATCTAAAAGTTAAGGAAATAATTGAAATGTAGTATAATACTTACAAGAAAGAAAAAGGAGCAGTAAAACTCCAGACATTTTGGAGGATGAAAAATAAAAGAACGAAATATATATAGAGGAGAAACAGAATTTTTGGGGCTGTGCTATTAATTCAGAGATATTGGAGAGCAATGAAAATATTTAAGGAGAAGAGAAGAGCACTTTATTAGAAAAAAAGTGGGGCAGCTATAAAAATCTAAAAGTTTATAAGGGGAGTTTAGTAAGCATTAAATTGGGATTGATAATTTTAGGTGTCGAGAGCATTTGAAAAATAAAATGGGATAAAAGTTGAAGAACAATGAGCAATTCTTTGCAGATCTCAGATAGCATTATTTCTTGCCATCTGTTAAAAAACTCATAGAATGGTGGAGAAAAAGACTAGTACCAAATATCATTTTCTTTATTATACTAATAGATTCTTATTAAACTCTAAAGGAAAAAAGTTGTTTATAAATGCTTCATATTCTGGACTGTGAATTTCTACAAAAACAAAATCAAGAGATTTCTTAAGCAGAAAAATGCTAAGAATAAGTAGAGTAAGTTATTAAAAATATTGCTAAACTATTTTAGAATCAAAACTAGGATTGAATAAAGGTAAAGGTATGAAAGATAAGCTTAATGGATCAAGTTAAAATATCTAAGCAAAAAACTAGTCTAAGCCTGAGACGATTGTTATGCCTTTGTATAATGAAGACCCAAGATCTGAGATAGAATCAGCTAACTCTAAGCAAAGAGAAAACTTTGATTGTAATCAATTCAGTCCATTTTAACCTATATCTCATACTCTATTCTATAGCTATATCAAAACAAGCTATTGACAAGCATATGGAGAAGCTAGACTTTGATAAAATGAAAAAGGCTTAGCTAGCAGTGCTTCCAAGAACAGCAGCACAGGATGATGATGGTTCAAACAATGAGAATTCAACAAATTAATAGCAGGCAGCAAAGAAAAACGATTATTAAATGACAAGCATCAATATCGATGAATTGAGAACTTAAATCAAAGCTCAATACCCTCATTTTCAAACAATGACTGTTGTAAGTATTTATTTTCGTAACACTTTGAAGAGCAAAACTATTAATGAGTTGAATATTACCCCTGAAGAGTATCTGAGATACAACTAGCATTTGATTCATCTATAAGAAGGCTAAGGCTATTTACTCCAGCATATTAGTTTAGTTGAATTTGTATTAGAGGATAGACTAAAGAGATTGACAAATGCAACCATCAAAGACCAAGTTGACAAGGATTCATTTAAAAAATTTAGTTTGTAAGTATCGCATCTACATAGATACACTTATATAACTCTTCTCGTAGGGAATAATTCCAAGAAATGAGGAATCAAATCAAAGATCCATCTAGAAATAAGTTGCTAGAACTTAAGAGAATGCTTAACTTTGTACTATAAAATGACATCAATAAAGACATCGGCTCAAACTATTATGATTTAGAAAATTATGAAGAGGAGGAGAATGATTGCCCTCAGTCAGTGGAGGAAATTATGAGGAGAGCAATGCCAGACTAAGATTCTGAAGAGGATAAAAATGATGAACATGATAAAATGCTACTTACAGAATTTAATAGCAAGGCGATGAAGCAAACTGTAGTTTTCAAGCCAAAGTAGACAGAAGTTGAAGGTAGTCCACCTAAAAATTAAACTCAAATGACAAGTGAAAGAACAATGACTAAATAAGATGATGCACTCGTAATGTAGAATTTTCTTAAGGGCAATGTGAGGATTATAAGAGGAGTTGGTGCTGAAGAAGAGTCAGAAAATCTAGATAAAATCAATCAACTATATGGAAAGAAGGTAAAGACTATGAGAGTATCTTCTCGAAAATCTCCCTCAAGATAGAGTGAATCCTCAAAAACTACCTAAATGACAACAGACTAGAAAACTGGACTCCAAAGTAATACTAGACTTGCAAAAATGCTCTAAAAAAACTAAACCATGCCTGTCAGAGGATAACATGAGGAGAGAGATAGACAGCAAAGTCCAAAGTAATCCGACTTTGACTAGTAGAGAAATAGAATGAACCTTGTAAAGAATAACTATGGTGAGAGAGTTCAGCTAAAGACCCCATTACAGTAGGATGTAGATGGAAGGGTGTCTAAATAATAGTAGCAAATTATGAATCATGACTTGATGGACAAAGATTAACTGAATTACTTCAGAAGTCTCTCGGGTTAGATATTAGACTAAATATCTGAGTAAAATGAAGAAGAGTAGTATCCAACTACAGTTCTTGCTCTTCCCAGAAATAACATAAAAGTGCCTGAACAGTTCAAATTAGAGGCTGAAAAGGGTCTGTATAGAGAAGAAGATCTTATTGCTTAAAATACGGGATATGCACATGAGAGGAATCGATCAGATTTTAAATCTGAATACTTTGACAGCAACATATCGATAAGATCATAAGTTAAAGAAGAAGACAATGAAGATGATGATGCTGATGAGCAAGAAAAATTGGTCGAGAAGTAGTTGATTTAAAGCAATCAGGGAATTTATCAACCTGTGGAGAAGCCATTTGTAAAGGAGCTGAATAGTAAAAAGAATAGAAATAGATTTATCAATAGACCAATTAAAACTACTACAGCTACTCCATCTACAAAGAAACAACTTACTGAGGAAGAGTAAAGGTACATTAAAAGAATGCTTGGACTAAATCCTGATACGAACTTAGAAAATGAGAATTTGAACCTTGGAATATTTAAAGACTTCTTCTGAAAATGACAGATTCATAAAGCAAGTGATAATTATTAAAGTCTAAGAAAGCTCTTCTTAAATTTAAATCTAATTCTCTCTTTAAATTAACTTATATTTTTGAATAGTGGGGTTTTGGGGTTTTGGGGTTTTGGGG